AGTTCTTATTTTGTAGAGAGCACTCTGAGCTATCTTCCGATGAAGAATAATAGATTCATACTTCGACTGCTTGTGCTGCAAATATGAACTCTTTCTAGACTTTCTAGACCGAGATATGATGTCTAGAAAATGCAAATTCTATTGACAGCACTTTTAGCGATTTTTAGGGCTTTTACGATAAATGCTATAACTCCGGAAGGAAGCACCCTCTAATCAAAGAAAATTTGGGAATCTTTCTGAATATGTTGTCTGAACGCAAGTCAAAATTCTGAATCAGAAACTCGGATATTGATTGAGAAACACAGAAAAATTGATCGTTCTTTCCTTGCAATGGCTCTACAACATGCTTGATATTTTACCGCTTCCGACTCCAAGAGTACGTACTTGCCTGGTATATGGATCGGTGTTCCACTCTTGAAGGGACATCCACGAACATAACCATATAAGCAAACTGTTCGATTACAAAGTGGATTCAACCGTATTTGCTCTGGTTCAGTTAGATCCTCCATACTAAAGAAAATAGCAATGAACATTGTATACAATAAGCCAGCTTTTCTCACACTTTACCGATCAACGATAACAAACGGATGTGTTGTCTTCCACGTAGATAGTTTAAATTTCATTACAGATATAAATCTTGCCAAATTATGTACATCTCGTTGCAAATATTCACCATTTTTCAATCCAGACATTGAAAACAGCTTTGCACCCTTTTAAATAAAAAGAGACTTATAAAGAATAAAACTTAAGCAACACATTTTATACCCCTAACTGATATAGAAAAGACTCTACCTCATACCTGATAGATTTCCGTCCAAAATCGATGTTTCAATTGTTTTTTTCGTTTATTTAATTGTTTATTCATTTTTTTAAATAAATCAAGATGCGTTAATACTCCCATAACTCTCGGTAAGCCAAACACTTGACAAACGTTTAAAAATTCAAATGTTTCCATTTCAAAACCAAACTTAGCATCGATCAAGAGTAAAACCTATAGCAAGACAATGAACAAGTGTGATAATAAAGTAAACAAAATAGAATTTAGATTATCTCACCAAATCAGCTACTTTCGCAACATCAATCATTGAGTTTATATCATTTAGACATTCGATAAATGTTAAACGACGTCTTTTACCTATAAAAAACCACTACTATCACATCACAACTACTAGTCTTTCGTTAAAAATAAAGCTTAAGGAACTTACCGGAGACAACCGTCACAGGACCTTTTATATCGGTTAATTTTTGTCGAGTAAAATTTTTAATCAGACAGCGCATCAATAAACTTTTTCCGACTTTTGCTGGTCCAACGAGAGCAACAATCACTGGTGGAGGCTCTAATGGAATACGATCAACTTCTGGAACATGTATTCGTTTTTCTCTGATATCTTGTGATCTAAACGAGTCAGACAGATGATATTACTGGTAACAATTTTCGATATTATTTTACCTTCTAAACTGACGTTCAGCAGAGATAGGATTCTGAATACTAAATGCTTTTGGATTTCGTCTTTTTGCAACATTCATAGTTTCTGGAACGGTTTTGTCTTTTTTCGTTGGATTCTCATCATTTTTGTCAAGATTTTTTTGCAATTTTTTCTGGAACTTTTTTCCTGATTTCTTTGCTCGAAATGGTTTGTGATGTTCGGTATTATCAGATGACATTTTTATTTGTCTAAAACAGAAATAATCATCTTATTTTATACAGTAGTCGTCCGTCTACAGTGTCAGGTAGTCGAACTAAATTCTCTACAAATGAGTTAGAACCTCTTTCTTATCTGTGAAAATGAATTGTATTTCAACTTGTGATTTACCAGCTAAACTGACCACGAAAAGCCTAATCTAAAAGGCGTATCTTTTGCACGGACTATAAAAACATGACTAATAAAGGATACGGGCATACCCTCGTTTCATATTTCAAAAAAATCATCTTGCTCAAGAAAAAAACAAAAGATCATAGAAAGCAGGATGGAGATTACCTGTATCCACTCCCATTCAATTGTTACGCTACTGATAAGGAAATAAGTCATTTAGATGTCAAATTTATCTTATGATACACCGTACCTTTCGATCCAAAGTAAAAAAACGAAAACTGAAACAAGCTAAAAAATTGTTTCATGACAAATTTATTAACTGTTTACTTGAAAACACAAATAACAACTGTATTTACATAACATATCGACAATGTTACAATGAAAACACGAACTAGTAATTGGTATTAAAAATTAGAGCTATTAGCTCTTTGCTAAATAATTCGTGTACAGTGACATGCATATTAGTTAAATCATTGCCCTTCACCGTTGCCCTGGAACGAAACAACAGAAGGATCATAGGGCTGTCCTTTAAACGGTGAACCCTCAGCATTCCAAGCTTGTTTTAACATGTTCTGATATTTCTGAAATGAATAAAATAGCAATTCAAATTATCAATATAAACATACAAATATGTGAGAAGATATTTGGCAAAAATTTAATGGTTTCAAAATGAGAGAACACGATAAAGTTATGAGTAACCAATACCTTCCTACTTCCTAAAGAACTTCTATTTTGATGAAAGAAAGTGAAAAATATAGAGGACGTTGTGTGATACAAAAGCGTTAACCTATGAATAATAAAAACAAACTTGTTCTTCGGATGTTGGTAAACCCATCATTTTTTGCCTCTGATCATACATCATTTGTTGAATTTTCATTTGTTCTTCTGAACTTAAATCTTCCATCGGCTTTTCAGGTTGTATATGTTTCAAATTAATTTTTTTTTCACCTACTAAGAAATTTTCCCACCATCGCTCCATTCCTTTTTCAAATGACACCTTAAGCATATAATATTAAAATAAGAAGTAATGAGACTTTGAAAATTAAATTGATCATCTATTTACATGTATATGATCACCAGGCACTAAACTCCATGTAGATTCTTCTGGATTAATTTTCCATGCTAAATCACTATCAATAAGGGTCTTCAACGTGCCTGAAACAGAAATAGAAATATTTTAATAAATAAATTAAAGCTTCATCCTACAAGGAGAACAATTTACCATTTTCTTGTATATCTATCTTTAAATGTTGTTTTGCAATAGCCACTTTTACCTCCTTGCCTTTACGTATTGATTTTGGAACCTGAAATAATTTAATCTTAATTTTTGTTTTGTGTAGAACGCTGATAGACTATCTGCATGAATTTTAAGAAGCCAAAGAGCTGTATCCAGCTGTGTAATTCCCACACCTTTATTCGCACATCTAAATCTTTAATAGTTTGTGTCCAAGTGTATAAATCACGATCGGCACCATTGTAGCAATCTGGTCGATCTTGAAATTCTTTTTGTTCCTTAAATAAATTACATAAAAAAAGTCAGCCGTATCAATACATATAAAACACTAAATAGATCATATATAAACAAATCTCTTTTACTTGCTTTGTTTCATCCTTATCATCATCACTTTGATTCTTCTCTTCAGCTTCTTTCATCGTTACATTCTCATTTGCACTACCGTGCGTAGCAACAGAAGTCACTGATTGCGAATGAACGCCATTGTTTTTTTCTGAGACAGTTAGTGTATTTTTCACATTCAATTCTTTTTCTTTCGAAGATGGATCTTCGACTGTCGAAATTGAATGTTTTGACTTTGCATCTAAATGCATAACAGATGGAAAGTGAAGCAGGAGTTGTATACACAATAAGACACAAAAAACTGAGGAATAGTCCGATACTATCTTTTTATACCTTTATGTTTACGAAAATCTGCGCTCATTTCTTCGAATTTCTTGAACCCTTTCAGAACCAACTGTTTCGCCGCACCTGGTGGAAATCCATAATTCTGTGTTGGTTCGAACATAAGACGATAAAAGTCTGTTCTACGAAACGAAAAATTGAATAAAATTTTAATTTTCTTACGCGTCAGAAAAGATTACTGACCTTCGATACAAAAACGAAAACATAACGTCCAAAAATGCTTGAATATTTTGTTCGCGTTGAAGAATGTCAAGTAAAATAGAATCATATTCCTCTCTGATATTTTCCATTAGCGTTGTAGTAGTTATTATCTAAAACCATAACAAATATCGATACTACTATCGATATGGTGCAATATACTCAGTACATGCGCATGTCCCGTAAGCAGTGTTTTCAATAGAAATTTTTGTGATAGCTGAATGTTTTTCCAAGTGGACTTTTAAAAGTTTGCAGATCCATCAAAATTCGCTTCACAGAAAGATTTTTGGTTAGAAACAAAGTAAAAATTATAAAATCATGGTGGGAATTACATCGATAGATCCGCTTGTCCGCTTTGCTATTGAAAATGCTGCTAAGAAGCGTAATGCTGTTATTACTTCTGCTAGTCAAATTACACTAGGCGCAAACTTCAGGCGTAAGCCGCAGCTAAGTTTTTACACGAATAGGGTAGACTTTTCCGTTATTTTCTTTTAGCTCCGACGAGATTGTTCGCTCCTCATGCTACTCCAAAGATGTCAGAAGAAGAAAATCTTTTTAGCACTCTAATGACCAATCAGCATGTACTTGAAAACTACCGTATAGGTGTCTATTAAGGTTCAAAAAAAGCTTAAAGTAGTCAAGTTTTTAAATAAGACTTATAACTTTAAGCGAAATTTACATAAAAATCGACGAAACTTTGAATGTATTACCACGTGTTTTGGAGGCATCCGATGTCTTTTCTCATTGGATAAGACTAAGCAGTGATGATGGTGGTGTGTTATTGATGGAGAGAATTAAAATACACCAGTATTGTATATTATATATACATATTCACTCTTTACACGTGTATAGAGCTTAAAGCTTCAATAAGACTTTGTACCACAAGTTGTGTTTCTTTATTATTCTTTGCGTTCTCAATGCATGAAATATATAAAATGAAGAAAACGAGTTGGATGAGAATTAAACGTTACTTAAACCTTCTTAAGGATAAAGAAATGTACATTACTTACCAATGTTCTGGATAAAGCTGCTCTCACCTTCTTTAACCAGTTGTTGCTATGTTCAAGAAGCGTGGTTGTTTTTAACCTAGTGTATGTATGTGTACTATCTAGGCAAGAAGCAGGGGGTCGTATTACGAAAAGTAGACTTAAGTCGTGATTTAAGTCTAAGTTTAAGATCGACTTAAGTCCGGGGACTTAAACCGTATGACGAAAAGACTTAAGTTGGTAATTTGTTTACTTTTTGAAAGTCGTTGACAACAGTGACAAACTTGGAACAAAAACCCGCAAAATAACGAAATATTTATTCTCTAAACCTTAAAAAGCCGTTTTCGTCGAATCATATCGTTAAACGCCTGAGCTATTAGAAAAATGCGCCAATGACTTAAGTTCTCGGTCTTAACTTTAAGTGTTAAGACTACATTTCTCATGACTCAAGTGTTTTCATATTATGGCTTCCAGTAAAAAAAGATACTACGAAAAGTGATCAGCACTGAAGCAAAAGGATTTTTTAACTTATATGCTACATCCTGTTTCATCCGTTGACGTAGTCATGATTTTTTAGTTGTTCGGACAAGCCTAACACCTAGAGATCTGCATGGACAACTTTTTCCTGTCCATGTCCGTCCATATTCATGGACAGATTGTCCTCGTTCATATGTCCATGAGCGAACATTTTCAACATAGAGCATTCTTCTTTTTTCAATTGATAGAAACATTTTTCGTCCCTAACTCTATAGATTTTCTTTCTGTTTCTGTTTTACATGTGTGAATATGACTGAAGAAAAGAGAAGATAAGATGGTATACATAGACGAAACTACTTCTCTTTTACTTCATGACTAAGATAAAATTTCTTATATCTCAAATCTGCAATAGTTGGTATTGCGATTGTAAAGTATTCAGAAAAGTGTTCTAATGCAGATCTCTACTGGCACCGCCTGCCTTCTCTAATCAGAATCGTTGATCAAGCTATATTCTTCTATCGAACAAATAGCCAATCTTTCGGATAGTAACTTCACTCTTCTTGCACACATTTTCTTTTAGAATCTATTTTACACAAACGTTGTAGGAAAACAGTGTAAAATGCTCGTATTCATGGTAGCTGAAAAGCCTTCGTTGGCTCTGTCAATTTCACAAATACTATCGAATGGTCAGCTATCTTCAAGAAAAGGTTTTAATGGTGTGTGTAGCGTTCATGAGTGGAATGGCAGATTTCAGTCAAATTCATCAGCAAAATTTCGTATGACATCTGTCGCCGGACATGTGTTTGGTATTGATTTTGTGCCGAGATACAACAATTGGGATAAAGTAGATCCTGTATGTCAGTTTTAAACTCTTAAAGATTAGGTTTTTATTAAACCGATAATTCTTGTTTAGGCCGAATTATTCAGTGCTGAGACATTGAAAAAAGAAGCGACTCCCAATCATAAGATGCCCGCATTTTTAGAAAAAGAAGCCCGTGGTTGCGATGTTATTGTATTATGGTTAGATTGTGATAAGGAAGGAGAAAATATTTGTTTTGAAGTTATTGATTGCATCCAACCTGTTATTGATCCACGAGTAAGATGTCTTCTGGTGATCTGCAGATTAGTTCTAAATCTATCTTTTTGCTTTAGGCAAAGATTTACCGTGCAAAATTTAGCTCAATCACTGATAAAGATATAAGACAAGCATTTACAACATTGGGTTATCCAGATAAAAATCAGTCATTAGCCGTTGATGCTCGACAAGAACTTGATCTTCGTATTGGATGTGCCTTCACACGATTTCAAACAAAATTTTTTCAAGTAATATGATCTACACTAGTACTGGGACCTATATAGACGTTTTGTATTGTATAATGTAAAGCAAAGATCAAATGATTTGTGCCTTCAGCTATATGAACAGATTTTACTCTACTCGTAGGGCAAGTATGGGGATTTGGACAGCAGTTTAATCTCTTATGGTCCTTGTCAAACGCCAACGTTAGCGTTTTGTGTTGATCGTTACGATAAAATGCAATCATTTCAATCCGAACCTTATTGGTTGTTGATAGTAGAAGTATATTACATTGGCTACCCACCTTCGTTAACCATACTTGTATAGGTGTATTTTATTTATAAATAGATAACACATAAAGGTGGAAAAACAATGCGTTTACGGTGGGAGCGTGGACACTTGTTTGACAAAGAAATTGCCTACCTTTTTCTTAATACTGTTAAAGCATCAAATAACGTTCGGTAAGAAAGAACCGTAAAACTGATAGTGATATTGGATGAACTTATTTTTCAGTGTTGTTTCTGTTTCAACTCAACAGAAACATAAAGGACGTCCTAATGCATTGAATACAGTTGAGCTTCTTAAAGTTGCGAGTGCTGGTCTTGGTAAGAAAAAAGGTTGAATGTACATTTTTTTTTCATTAATATGCCAATACTTTTCTAGGTATGAGTCCTCATCATGCAATGCAAATCGCTGAACGCCTATACACTCAAGGTTTTATTAGTTATCCAAGAACGGAAACAACCCAATATGCTGAGAATGCTGATTTACGGTAATATAACGGCATCAAAATAAACTATTTAGTCTAATAGTCGGTATTCACTGTTTTTTTTTCTACTTTTAGTGGAGTTTTACGCGAGTTATCCAAAACTACTGGTGCTGATTGGAATATACATATTCAAAGTTTATTGTCTGATGGAAAATTTCAACATCCAAAGAAAGGAAAAGACGTTGGAGATCACCCTCCCATTACACCTGTACGAGCAGCAAATCAATCTACGTTGACCGGAGACTATTGGCGTGTGTATGATTACATCGCAAGACACTTCATAGCCACAGTATGGAAATAAACAGTGTATGTTCAGAATGTTGATCACCGACTGTTCATTCTTTTTTCTTTAAACTATTTAAGGTTAGTCCAGATTGTATTTATGAAGAAACAACAGTGTACTTTGAAAGTGCCAATGAATCGTTTACATTTACTGGAAAAAATGTCATTGAACCCGGTTATACGGCTATTATGTCGTGGAAGAAAATTGTCGATGATGAAGCGATACCACCTTGTGCAAATGGTGATATATATCCAATATCAGATATAAAACTAGATGAACGACACACATCACCACCAGATTATTTGACCGAAAGTGAAGTCATAACATTGATGGAAAAACATGGCATTGGAACAGATGCTAGTATACCGGTGCATATAAATAACATATGTGAAAGAAACTATGTCAAAGTCGATTCTGGACGACGACTTGTTCCAACAACACTCGGAATTGTTTTAGTGCACGGATATCAGAAAGTATAATAGAAAAATTCTGGTTAACGTTGATTGGTGATCTTCATTTGTGAGTTGAATATTTTAGATAGATCCGGAATTATCGTTACCGCACATGCGTTCCTCAGTCGAGACAGAATTGAACGAAGTAAGTTTTATAATGTGTACTTATTTTTTTGAAAACAGAGTTAGACACTGTATCCCCTATCTAACAGCTACTTTTCAGTTTGAGGTGAGTAATGCCAAATCTGTCACATGATTAGTACAAAGAATTGCGTCAGTGTCTTTGAAGTTTAAATCTTTTCTTATTTTTCTTATGTTTGCTTGCTCAGTTGTTATCTTTAAAAGTCTCCGCTACTAAAATGATATGATAGTTTACACACTACTATTCATTCAAAATAGAATAGACCTGGACATTTTTGAATAACCTTTGAACGATGAAAGATAGAGATTTACGATTTCCACTATTCAATAGAAAAGATCAGGAGAATGGCTTTCCTTAAAATAGAAAGTTTAAAAATCTTTCAGGAAGATTTAGTTTTGAAAAGTTTTTGAAAAATTGTTCAGATTTCTAAGGCTATCGAACACGGTAACTCTGGCAATGTTTGGTCACCGAAAATACTTTAAAAGTCTAGTAAAAATTTATTATTTTTTCTTTTCTTGATTGCCCAAGGCAACGTTAATTATCAACATGTATTAACACACGTCCTTAAAATATTTGAACAAAAATTTCATTATTTCGTGCAAAATATACAAGGAATGGATTCACTATTCGAAGACTCTTTTTCACCATTATCAGCGAGTGGAAAACCATGGTCAAGGTATTCCTCTGACGATAACAACGTCACTAATTCTTCAATTGATTTCTGGGTTTAGATGTGGAAAATGTCGACGGTATATGAAATTAATACAGTCAAAACCAAATCGTTTACATTGCGAAAATTGTAAAGATACGTATAATTTACCACAAAATGGTCTTATTAAACCATATAAAGAAATTAAATGTCCATTAGATGAATTTGAACTCGTTTTGTACGCGTCAAACAAAGGCAAAGTATGCTGTTATGTTTTTTATATCAATTGTATAGATGTAACACATGTTAAATGTGTTTGTGTCTTTATTAAGAAAAAACGATACTTTTTCAATCGTTTGACGTGTACATCAGGCATTGTTAATTTCTTTAGAATTTTTCATTATGTCCATATTGTTTCAATAATCCTCCATTTAATGATATGAAAAAAGGTCAAGGTTGTAATGAATGTACACACCCAACATGTCGAAATGCGTTTAGTCAACTTGGTGTTTGTGCTTGTTATATATGTCAACGTGGAATATTTGTATTGGATAATTCCACGGCACCAAAATATCGTCTAGCGTGCAACAAGTAGGCCTTTTGTCTTTTTTTCAAAGTTAAAGTGATGTTATTTAATAACTTATTTTTTAAGATGTCAGTTTAATATTGTTTTGCCCGATGCTATATTAAAAGTCCAAGTTAAAGATCATTATTGTCCGCAGTGTGATTCTGCTCTGTTAGATATTGAATTTCAGAAAGTAAGATAACAATTGTCTCAAGTTGTATACGATTAATGTTATCATTTGTTTTTGTATGCTCAGGACAAACATCCCGACACATCCATAACTGCTTGTTTATTATGTCATGAATTGTTTTTGGATACAATACAGAGAACAACAAATTATATGGAAAATGCAAGAGGAAATGCTGCTCGTGGTGGTTATGGAGATCGAGGTGGTTATCAAAGAGGAAGAGGCGGTTCGCGTGGCGGAAGAGGACGAGGACGTGGTGGTAGAGGACGAGGCTCTAGTCGAGGACGCTCTCGTGGAAGATCCGGAAATCGATAAATCAATAATTATCATTGATATTTTTATTGTTTTAGTGTTACTCCACTTTAAATTAAACATCATTTTTATTAAAGCCAGCTATGAACTACTGTTAACATTGTTTTTTGTATCAAATGATTCTTAATGTTTTGTCGTTGTTAATTTTTCATGTTAAACAACTACAACAGTATGTTTATTAAAGACGAGAAGAGTTAATCTTAATAAGAGAATAATAGTTAGAGATGTATAAGGTTACAGCTGCTTAAAGACATTCATTTGTATAGTTATCAGATTTATACTAAAGACCTTACAAGAAGATTCATTGATTATTTTCTGCGTCTAAAATTTTAGAAATAAAATGTCTCTGAACAAATCTGGTCGACCTGATCCTCAATTGGAAGCTGATTTTGATATTCGTGCTAAAAATGTAGAACAATGTTTAAATGAATTAGAACAATTTCTATCACCTCTTGAAAAAACAACATATTCGACAATTCATGAAACCATATCACCATTAGATCGGGCCCGATATGATTTAACAGCAGCTTATACGTTAAATTCTTTAATGTGGTCTTATCTTCGTACACGAGGTATTGATCCAAAACAAACACAATTAAAACCTGAATTAGATCGTGTTAAATCGTATATGGAAAAAATGAAAATGATTATTGATAAACAAGATGCGCCTAAAGTAGATAAAAGTGCAGCTGTCAGATTATTAAGAAATGCATTATGGCAAAAAGCACAAGGAAAAAATACGAAAACAGATTCAGAAACAAATGAAAATTCTGATATGACCACTTGATCTTTCATAGTTTTTTGTATTTTCTTTTTTATTATCTGTTGTTATTGTATATCTGAGCGGAATAAAAATGTTTCAAATTCTAATACAGATTCGCTATTTCTTTATTTTTCTCTTCAATGTGCAATTTTCGAAAAAGTTTTTCAATATATTTATGCCTTTAATAATCGTCATAGTTTTGATCCACTTTTGATACAGAGTACTTCTGTTTGCTGCTTGTTTATAAGCTTTAGTATTGCATTAGACAAACGCCATCTCATAAGTATTTAATATTATTCTATTAACAGCACTATCCGAGTAAAAAGTTTTTTCTATAATAAACACTACCACTAATAATTTAAACTCAAGGACCTTAGTATAATTGAATAGAGATGTTGATCACGTTTATTAAATATAAAATAGCTTGATGCATCAAGCTTCAATATGCACAAATATGCTTAATCAGTTACTATGACATCGTCATTTTCCATCTTACATTGAGATTCTAATGAGTTTACTCCTGTCCTTGATCCGATAGTCATAGATTATTGTTTCATACCTCCTTGTCCGCTTCTCATCCCCTATTCGATCGATAAACGATCGTCACACCTACAGTACATATCAATAGCTGAATATAACGATTTTGTTCAACTAAATAAATTTTATTTTCTTTCAATATTTCTTGATGAATCTCTGGACCCTTTTTCAAATAAAGGAACACTAAAAGCTGATTAAACACAGTTTCTGCCGAATTGGAGTAACGATACATATCGGTTTGCGGACTTTACAATGCATTTTCTAAAAAACCAAAGTTTTTCACCCAAAATCTATTTTTCTTTGCTAAAAATATATTTTTTATTAAAATGACTATATTTCAGCGCATGGAACTGCATCAACTCGAGAAATACAGATCATGAACGATCACAGTAAGCGACCAAAAGACAAGACAAACTCAGAAGAAATAAAAACAAATTAGAAAATCAGAAAAACATTTGTTGTGAAAACAAATTGTTGGCATGAATAATGTCAACCGGAAATTACTTAATTATCAGTTCGACAAATTTTTAGCTTACCAAAACATTCACAATTTTTGATATTATGAATGGCCCTTTTATCGTGGACCTATATTTCACATTTACTTATGTAAGAGACTTTTTTCATTACATCATAACACTATTAGAAATATTACTAGTCAATTGAAAGTGTCAAGACATTTTTCATCATGTTCATACAATAATACTCGATCCAAATGCGCGTCATTCTATTTGACTTGTTTCCACTACCATCATGAGAGCAAAACATCTTTCAATCATTCGTTCCAATAACTTGTTGCACTCTTTACATCTTTGAGTTGATCATGAATGCTACATATCGGAATTGATTAAATTTCAAAATTTTCGGATCAGATCGATTCAGGATAAACTTAGATAAAAAAATCTGTTACATGTTGTTGTATCTTCATCTGTTATGTCCATAAAAAATGCTATTTTCAGAAATAGACAAGTACTATCAGATAAAAATGGTTTATATAACATCATCTTTTATTTGTATACATGTAGCAAAATAAAATGTTTTAACTCCTTTATGATATTGAAAAACTTTTTGTGCCCCATATGTAAAAAGTTTGCATGGATTTGCTCAAAATTTAAAAAACTTGGATCAGGAAAGGATCACTTCGACTCGGATCGATCCAGTCCAAAAAAGATCGATTTCGGCTTCCGCTACATTTTATTCTTTAGTTCAGATAAAGATCAAATCATTCGATAAATCTATTTGAGGACATATACACCGAATAAGAATAATCAGTTCTGAATGTCATTTGCTGTATTTAACTGCAGACACTGTTGTTTATATGCAATTGAGGTACGATGAATCGGTATTAGACCCTGTCTTCAATATTTGTGATCTACCATTGTATGGTATCGCTACTATACTATTGTTCGCTCCAATTTTAACAAAAACTGACTCTGCACAGAATAAATGGATAGTTTCAAGTTTATTTTTTATTTGCATTGCTTGCGGCATAGTTTGATAACCACAAAATAGGTATTACTTACTGTTTTTCTTGTTACCACATTGAATGAATAAGAGCATGAACAAAACAGACAACAATTGTTCTTCTATGATACTGTTTTCTTCAATATTTTGATCAACCCCCGTTAGCAACAATGAAAAAATCATCCGCCATTAGAAAAAAATTGTATTTGTGTGACTCTGCACAGTAAAACATGGTGCTGTCTTCTTATTATTGTTTGCACTAAACACAATGGCGAGGATAGCTCAAAAACAAACAGAATTGTCATTACAAGGAAGAACAGAATGTTACTACAAGAGTGAGTAACCGGTACACATACACACATAGGCGCGTACATTGAATGAAAAAATGCCGGAAAATAATAAGAAAATACACACGCAATACATGAATATTCAAGCCAACAGTATTCTAAATCATACCATTTATTTCTCTCTCTATGTCTCTCTCTCTCTTAAATTCATGTAGATGTGTGTACTAAGCGTAGAAAACAAAACAAAATCGCAATATTATATAGAACAGAGAAGAATAGAATATATCAATCAAGACAACTGTGCGATACGCACGATTTAAACAAATAAAAAGAGAAATGTATACGCTGTAAGCAGAATATGAAATAGAAAAACATTTTGTGTCCCATCACCGCTAGGAGAGAAAGAAAACAGAAGAAAAAGAAATAATAACAACAAAGAAACAAAAAAATAGAGAGACAAAAACGTTCGTTCATTGATGGTATAGCTCAGCAACCAAGCACACCGGTTTAAAAATTCTTTTCTCTACGTTTGTTGAGCATAATACGGGATCATACGAAAACAACAACACACATATTTTTCTAACCTGAGACAAACAAAAACATAAAATAGTTCTATTAGTGAAGTGTTTTAGGTTATATTGCGAGACGAAAAAGAAAAAAAACAGAGATGATAGTAGTACAAACACACACAAGCAAGAAGTTTTTTATTTTAAGAAATGAAGTATTATCCATTCGCTTGTTTTAGTCTCCACGACGATAAAATAATAAATAGGGAGTCTGTTTATTATCTTGCGAATTTAATACTTGTGAACTTGTAACAACATTAACAGTTGAATCGTCTGTTCGAATCCATCCTTGTAAACCGGGATGAAAAACATCTGTTATATAATGACCACCGCTCGCTTTATCACCACAATGATATTCGACAGCGAATAATTTATAACGATCATACGACGTTTTTCGAGCTTGTTCAGTTAATATTTCTAGAACAGATGTAGACAATAACGAATGATGCAAAAGTTTTATTCCCTTTTTTGTTTGCTTCCTGTCTCAATTCAGAAGCATCGTACACACTTCTTTTTCCATTAGAGCTGTTCTAATTTAGTCATCAGAATGTTGAATAATTTTACACTAGTGCCATCACTTTTTTACTGGACGTTTTTTACTTTAAAAATCATGACAAAGCTTTCGTTTTAAATTCTTCTCTTGTCATATGCACAGCAAAACTGTATTTAAAGTAAGTATATTAATTGACTATCCGATGTAAAAGGGAAATATTTCGCTTTTACAAGTGGGTTATTGGCGGTTTGTCTTTTAAAAATAGTATCTCTTTTCCAACTGGTTGGTGTCCATTGTTCTTATATATTTTTTGTAGACTAGAATCTGCTCTTTCTAATGGAAAAAGAAGTAAGTGTGTACGATGCTTCTTAACTGAGACATGAAGCAAACAAAAAAGTTAGAACTAATATATATATTCATGTACTATCCACTGCTCCTAGATTCAACGATCAATTATGAATCTCTACATCCTTTGGATAAGCTCTTTTCTTACTTGACGGTAGTGTCAAATTAACTTGATATGATAATTGTTTATTTATTTTTTTCGTCGAATTATCTGTTTCATCGTATAGAAAACATTTCAAGTGAATAATGAGAATGGGTGGCAATTGATCGATTAACATTGTTTTATTGGTATGAACCTATAATAAAAATAGAAAGAGAATATCTTTGTGTTTGTATTACTTTCTTGCTCCACATACTGTCTGACGTGTTTTATTATCGACATAATCTGTGAGGATAACTTGTTCGGAAAATCTTAGTAAAGCATCTTCTAACGATTGTATTCGATTGTCCTTCGAAGAAAAAAAATAATAATAACAGATTAATTTTTTATATAGTTTCATCTTTTTCATTTACTTTAATTTCAAGTGATAATGTAAAAAATGGTTCATGAACAACTGATCTTTGATTTCCAGCACTATGAACAGTTGATCGAAACATGCCCGAAAATATTTCGGATATTAAACTTTTGCGTATTTCATTCTAAAAATACACAGCGAGACATTCTAGTAATCTAAATCATACTTTACTCAACCATGGGTCAAAGGCGGAGAAAAGTTATAAATTTTCTCGAAACTGTTGCAACTGCACAATTGCTTTCACTCATAGAAATTAGAAAATAGTTTTTATGAGTGAAAGCTATTGTGTTAGATATTAGTTAGAAATTCGTTTACTAACACTACGAAACACATGTGTTCGATTTCGTTTCCCAACTTGAAGCCAATCCTCTGACTTCTCTTCGTTTCCATTTGTTTGTGATACATTGCTCGCTTGTGTCGAAGTTGTGGTTGTTGGTGATGTAAGCTGTTCTTCTAATGAAAAATATAACAACCAATGTAAAAATAAGTGAAAACGACTCAGAAGACTTTCTCATAATTAAAGCTAAATCTGTTTTATATAGTACTGAAATACTTCAATCTAATTAAAAACGATATCCATCTTTTGCTCGTAAACTTTAACTTCATGTACTTACCAGTATTTGGCATGGGATTAGGTGACAATACTGGTGTTTTATATAATACATTACATATTTCTTCATGTAATTCATTTAATAATTGGCATAATAATTCGTGTGCATCTTCCTGTTTTGTCTGTTAAAAGGAAAAGGTAGTGATAATATACGGTCCCTATGCGTAAACTATGAACAACATACTTTAACAACATCGAGTGGAACTTTTCTGAGACGTGCTATTTCATTTAACATATTTGTGGCTTCGAATGGTTGACCACACACGATGTCTTTATGATTAGCACTAACTGAATGTTTACTACGATCCATTTTTTCAAATTTATTGACAAATACATGTCTAAAACACAAATCAAACTTTTGTAATTCAGAACGGCGAAATATTGAATATCTTATAATAAAATAGTGATATTCTCAATGGATATGGACAGAACTCGTCTGTCGTTCTTGTAATAAGTGACTTACAGTGCTTCTATACAAGGCATAATTTGTTCCATTGAAACTTCGGATATTGGAGCATGTTTCATAACATTGAAAAATGGTGGACATGCTAATAAAGCTTGCAAAGTCTAAAAGAAAAATATCATAAATTCTATGTTTACTAATCCAATGAAAAACTAATAACAAAACTTACGGCATTAATATAACAATAATTTCCTTTATTCGCTAAACCACGTGGTTTGATTGCCATGGCTGATGGACGTAATTCACATTTTGAAAAATAATCTAAATGAATGAATAAACAATAAACATTTAACTGTCTTTTTAGAAGTATAGAAAAAACGTGTACGCTCGTTAATATACAAGCGATGCTAGAATCTTTTTAACGTTAACTATTACGTCAGTCGACACGCATGACATACCATCAAGGGATTGTGACTCTTCTTTGTTACTATTGTAGACATGATAATTGTTTTTTGACTGATTGCTGTATAAACGATTATCGTTTGTGGTTGTACTTCGAGACATTGATTGTGATGTTAAAGAGGATATTTGTGTTCCACTCGACGAACGAACAAGAGGTTGTTGAGAAGGTTTTTTTTGTGGAGGTTGTGAAGTGGACGATGAAGCTGACGAAAGAGATTTTGTCGTAGACGTTATGTTGTTGTTTTTATTCGGTGATGGCGGCGATATTAAGTTGTTGCTATTGGCGTTAGATTGTATTTTCGACGATCTACATAGAATAAAACCGTAAATACGTTATAGTAGACAAGTAAAAATAAATCACCAAATCTTTATAATTCTTTCGTTACCGGTTTATTTTATCTCACTTTTATCATCGATAATTATTTTTCCGTATGCTCTTAGTACGTTCTATTTTCTTCTGCTCATGATTAAAAGTTTCGTTACCTGAATAAATCAGCCCAACATGGCAATGCTTTTGTTGATTCGCTTCTTGTTGTTGTAGATTGAGCAAGGGAAGATTGTTGTTGGTTGATGTTGTTTTGATCTCCATTTGGTTTCAAGGTTTCGATACTTGCTCCACTGGCAACTGATGTTGAATAAATTGCCATATCATCATTAAGAGCCGGTGAAAGTGAATGCATCTGTTGTGATGTATGTGTTTTCATTGTTGTTTGTGGAACTGTATTTAATTTTAAATTATTATTTGTTTGTGTTATGTTTATTGGATAACTAACATTTGTTTGAGGAACTGTTGTTGAACGCGAATCATGTAATTCATCATTCACATTATCTTCATTATCATCAGTTGTGGTGCCATGAGTATCTAAAAAATATGACTAATATTTATTTAATCCTGCACACAAACAGATCGTATAGTTAAACATTATGCACATGCACAACAAACTGAACTATCGAAATAACTATATACTAATTTTTTATATCATAGGTAATTATGGGAATCTAAGCCAGCACATAGCAATCTAACACGCTAGTTTTTTGCCCAAAAAAATACTCAATAGATTAAACAAACTTCTGCATTTCAAACTGTGTCCAGTCTCTGTACCTCAGATAAATATTCTTAAATTCAGTAAGATCATAGTTACTACTATTCAAGAAATATACCATCTGAATCGATTTCATCTTCATCATTTGTTAAATCTGCACTTTGTTTTGATGATTCTTGATCGTCATCGTGTTGTTGATGTTTCATTGTTGAATCGACCCATTGATTACACGCTAGTAATCTGGCATCACCTGTGACAGGAATAGTCGATGAGGGTGGTATGTGAAATTCTGAATGTTGTTGTTGATCAATAGTTCCTGTTGTATTATTCGAGGATGATTGAACTAGAAGTGTTGTACTGCGTGAGGGTGCGGCTGTGGCTATTGTTGTCGAAGATAAATCGCCAGTATCATTTAAAATACCTTTTAATGAAAGAAAGCAAATAAAAATCATCTTATTTATAGGATACCACTCTTATTTCCAGGGCTTACAATATGGCCACGTCTACAGTTTAAAAGTTCCTTTATTTACCGTTCTTTTGTTGTTCTTGCGCTGGCTCCATAATCTGATTGTATTCACGCGCATAGTAATCTTTTGGACGTTGCTTTTTTTTCTTTGCTGAATTCAGCGAATGTCGATGATGGTGATGATGATTATGATTACTGTTTGTCGTAGATTTCTGATGATTCGTTCCCGTTGAAGATATCTTTAAATTTTCAACAGATGAACTTTTCGAAGAATACGGCGGTGATGTTAAAGCAGATGATGATTCTTGATGACTACTTCCATTACACGACGAAGAATGATACGACGGATAATACGAGCATACGTGCGACGTCACAGGTGGAACATCAAAACCAAATTCAATTGTGGGATTAATACACGCATCGGCACCCCATGGAAACTAGACGAAAAACCAAAATAAAAGTATTTTATTTAAAAGCTTACATTTAAAGAAAAAGATACTTAAGTTCTGGATTTCTAAATAAATACCTCTGGATCTTTTACCTTCACACATTGCTTATCATGGCCGAAGAATTTCTCGGTTTCTTCATGAGAAAAGTCGCCAAACATTAAATCCTAAACAGAATCATGGGAAATTTGTAAATAAGAAATGCCAATGAAAAGTACAGACGTACCGCCATTTTTTATTTTAAAACCAAAATAAAACAAAATTGAATAAAAGTTTAAATATTTTAACTTATCAGTATACACGATCGCATATCACTACAGTTCTATATCATATATGGGTGCCTTAAAATCATCTATAAGAAAAATTCGAAGTTTTCAGAATCATTATATAGCTGTGATCTATGTGCATAAATCAGTCTTTCCCATCTAAATCCAGTAAATGAGCACACATATGAAAAAGAACGTATTATTATTATAAAACATCATGTAACCTTTTTTCCTAGTTAAAGAAACTTAAGAATAACGGCGTCTTTACCTCAATAACGACGAAAGAACTATTTTGTAGAAAATAAGTGACGAGCAATTTTATATTCTTTTGATGAATTTTTGAATTTTACCAGAGTGAATTAACTTGACAACACATCATTTATAGTGTATTATCAAAATGAACAAGATCGAAATCAAGAAATGGGGTTCTTAATACTTGTTGGTTATATTATTGTTACGCTCGGGTCGAGTCTTGCTGGTTGCAAACACTACAATCAACGTAGGGTTGAAGTTTTAGATTGATTGTAGCGATTACACATAACTTTGTGAACTTACTTAATATAACCTTATTTCTTATATTGTATTTTTTCTCTTCTCTTTACCGACGAGGTGACAACATAAACCAATAAGGGGCGGGGTTAGGATCAAAACCGATCCGATCTTGTTTTCAGATAGATGCGGTACAATTAATTTTGTAAAACTGAATCATGACATGCGAATGCGTAGTATTTCTATTATATCTTAACTTCATACTATGACCGTAAACCAGCGATGCAAAACATTTATGCAGCACTAGAATATAAAAATAAAATGATTCAACTACGTAGTTTAGAATAAATATAGTAAAATACTGTTTATTCGATAAAGATAAAGGTATTTGAGGGTGTCAGCTCAGGCCGGCAGCTCACGGGATCTGTAGGATGAAATCTATATATTTTCAGAATGTATGCTAATAAGTATAGTACCCAGTAGTACGTCGGTACACCTTGGCCGCTGGTATGACAAAAGTGTATTTTTCGGACCTTAGAAATGCTTAGTGTTGCAACAGTCTGATGTTGTGAAACGGCAACATTCGGTCACAATGGGACAAAAATTTTGTAAAACCTGTAAACTGTAATTTTGTATTTTGTAAAATAACCAACTTCTACTTTACTTCACTTCGGCTGTTTCTACTTCACAAACATTTCCAATTGGATGTCTATTAGATACTTCCCTAAGACTAAGACTAAGACTGTTTTTATTCACGAAAAGTGAGAGAGTCATCAAAGGTCACTGACCTGTAATAAATGATTCAAGCCAAACAACACATAAAGAGTAATAAAAAAGAACACAAAATAAATAAGACAACTAAGGTTAGAACTAGAAGTAGTAAAAAACGAACAAATTTTTGAAAAAAATAAAAAGAAGCAAAAAAGAACAAACTCTTAACTGACAAATGTTTTACTGGAAGAGATACTGACATAAAGCTGTTTTGAAAGACGTTAAAGAAGAAAGATAAATAACTGACTCTGGGAGATTATTCCAGTCAACAATAGTTGAATAAAAAAAAGAAGAATGCACCGTTTGCGGAGAATAACCATCAACAGAAGATGGAATGCGAATATATTTAGAATGATGAAGACATAAAGATGAGTAGTGAGGACGATGAATAGTATAAAAAAGAGAAACAGGAGTTAGACGATTCCTAGAAGTCATCATTAACAGCCTTAATAATACAAGAGAGTTGTTCTTTATCAAAAATAAGGTATCTGTATTACGAGCGACGAGATGAAATACTCAAATACTAACAAGGTAAATATGAATATACTTGTAAACGTCCAAAAGACAAACGAAAAAAGGGACGGGAAAAAATACTTAAGTGAAAGGAAGACTGCAATGCTAAAACATCTGAATAATAAAATGACCGATGTCAATCACGCATACAATATACGACTTATGATCACGTGTCGAATACATGTATCGTAACATTACTTTATAAGAAATCACGTCTCGGAGCTGCAGACAGAAAATGAATTTTACAAAATTTTTGTCCCTTTGTGGCCGGATGTTGCCAAACGGTAACAAGTGCATTTTTTACCGTTGAGAAGTACTGAATATGTTAGGTTAGCAGGCGTTAAAAAAGACCTTTTCGAGAAATTGCGTTTGAACGGATTAAATTTTCAAATATAACGAACGGATGCTAACGTTTGTTCGGAGTAGTAACGAGTCAGATTCAGTTAAATATGGTTCTAAGAAAGTTAATTGCATATATAATTTATTTTATTTAATATTAAATCTTCGGGCACGAAAGAAACAAGTTTTTATGATGTGAACGGTCGTCTAGGACTCTACGTGTGAATCTAATTACTCGCCTGGAAAAAGAATATTTTTTGTTCTTGAATACATGGATACACATCACAATGTATAAAGTTAATTATTCAGTTTTAAAAAAAGACATATACTTCCATAATGAGTCAAATCCCATAAAAGACTGACTCAATGTTGCCAAATGGCAACATTCGGCTGGAAAGGGTTAGTGAAATTTTTCCAGAACTACATAATCATTGAATTAGCGATGAAAAATTACGAAAAAGTGAATAAAACTCTTTCATCGGCGGAATCTTCACCAGGAACTACCGACAAGCATAATTTAGAGAACGACTTATTCTCCAACAGTTTAACCAGAGAGTTGTGAGCCGATTAACTTTCTTTTCCAAATGAAATGCGAAACGCTGGTCTAACTTCGTAACGGGATGCACTACCTTTCGGATGCGTACAATTTGGGAAAATTTGTTAATTTTACATGACTCTTGAAATCTCCACCATCAATAATCTTTCCAAACTCCGATACAGTGCAGTACTAAATATACTTATTTCCGGCAACATTCTGCATCTGGAATACAATTCTGAAACCAGTCTCAACATATTCTATATGGTCGATTTCCTATACAGATATATTTTCCCTATTGCTTATGTGGGTGGTAACCGAAGTAATAGCCACACGAGTAAATCTAAATGTCCTACGACGGAATAACGGACATTTGATTGTATGTACCTAATATAAACTAAAATTCACATTGGCAATTAACTGTCTGTTGACACGCCATTTTGGAACAGGTAACATATCAGACAAAAACGAGAATTTAACGTCGACCGTTAAATGTCAGTTTTTAATCGTTTGCCAACAACAGATTCATCCTGTTGTTTCGCTATTTCGACTAATATAAACTTTACTCTGATTCTTTTGAAAAAACCTGGAACTTTTCTCATCTTTCACCATACATTGAAACTTGTTGTGACTAGGTAGCTTTTAGTTATGGGAGTGATATTAGGGATGGTACCATGGTTCAAAATGTTCGAACAATACGTTGTTAACAGCCCATAATGATGCAATAACGGCCTTAAAACGAACATGATAAAACATTCGGTTTTGGATCGTAGAGAAACTGCCGCTTTTAGGCATTAAAACGTTTCCAGTTTAAACACATAAGAACGATCAAAAAATTGTCAGAATGGTCTAAAAATATCTATCTAACAAAGATTGGATGGGTTATTACTGAGTGTTTGATAAACAATTAAGTACCGTTTTCTACGTCCTGGGAACGTTTTGTTTCCAGTTTATATTTCATCGTACCGGATCGATCGTCCTGCATGTTCTTCATTGAATTTATTTATTTAGTAGCAACCTCTGAGATATACTTGTCGGCTATTTTTCATGTTTTGCAAACATGGCATTATTAGCTTTCAAAATATTTTTACGAAGGATATTTTATAAAAGTAAAAAGTTATGATTTAAAGTATAAACTATTGTTAACAGAAATATAATCAATAAATTGATATTGCACATTAAGGGCGAACATTGGAACTAAATTACAAATATACAGGTATTAATTGATAACAAAAAAATATTCAACATTCCTAAAAATGTGTGCAAGTACTCGAATAATGCGATAAGCTTAGAAGCTGCCATTCATTCAAAAAACGCCCTATTTGTTCATCTTAATCATCGTCACCGAGCATCATTCTTTTTGAACGTTGTAAAATTGTTTTAAATTCTGTTAATAGATTCGAAAGAGACCATTTCATATCATTTATTTAATTTTTTTTATGGTAGTCTCGTGAGTCTGATGGTTGTTTTCCATAACTTCTGGTCACAATTGGATGTGTTATATAATGTTTTGTTTTGTGATATTTAATTATAACCGTTTGATGATGTTCTACTGATTGTATTCTTTGACGATGAAGTTGTTTTCGCTGTTTAGCTTGTAATCGATGTAGATGTTTTCGATTTTGTTTTAATTGATATTTCTGTGCATGGGGCAATTGTTTATATTGTCGTGTGATCAAATATGGTTGAATATTTAGAAAGTTTGTTGATTTTTGTTGTTGATAATGAATAGTAGCTACATCATTTTGCAATTGTTGAGAATTGTCATGAACAATATGTTTTTCATGTTTTTCTTCTTGTCTTGTTGTATGATGTTTTGAAAAACTGTATTTTGGATTTTTTTTAGTAGAGAGTGGTTTGTGAGCAAGAGCGATTTCTGATGCTAATTGTTTAGTTTGAGAACTTGACGAGTGTTTTAAAAATCTCAGATCGTCTTAAATAGGAAAGAATACTAGTATTTCTCTTTGGTGTTATAGATAATTCTTTCCAACAATAAGCAAGATTTCAGGTTCAAGCACAATAGGATTACAAATAAGGATCAACTCTCGGTTTCTGATTGACACTTCTCTTTTCGATCTGCTGCAGATTAAATATATAACGAACGACAAAAAATGTAAGTGATAAATGTGTTCTTAGCTCATGCGTACTCTTGACCTAGATTCTCTTACTTTTTTCGGAACTGATATTGCTCAAGTGAGAAAACTGAACGTTATAAATAAATTAGAAGAGCGAATATTCGTGGGATTTGTTGTGCAAAACTATTTGCGTATTGTTATATCAGATTGGATTATAATGATATTTTATAGTTTATGGTGCAGGTTGCCAAATGTTATAATCTGAATACCTTTCTAATGGCTGATTATGTTTTATCGATATTTACCTTCCAGACGAATGGTTTTCCTCGTATAAGAATGATGTAATAGTGTTGATATTTCTCTGTAATGTTTGCTTTTGTGAAGAGAATTGTAGGCTGTTGCATGAACTGTGTAGTAGATAGGCGGTGTCATTATCTTCCTTGTTCGCGCGATTACGGGCATCGTATGTATTCGAAAAAAGTTCCAGGCTTGTTTTTTACGATCACTGTTTGTATTGGTTTTCTTCATTCTATCAATATCTCGGTTGAACAGAGCAACATTATCCGATATAAAATGACCATACTGTTTTGTATCCCAAACATCGTCATTTGTGTTTTTCCGTTTGGGCATTAATTCAGCCATGTTTTCTAGTAATGATATAATGAAATGACGTTTCGAGCGAGATAATAATGTAATATTTTTCTCGGCAGTCGTGGAATGAATTAGAGAATAATATAAGTTTAATGAGAACAATTGTGTAATCGACCATTTTGTAAGATATAGCAAGAACAAGGCATTTGCCATAGAAAATGTCTATTAGTCATTATTCAAATAATCATAATTCATCCATGACCATTTGTTATTACGACGGTTAGCATTATCTCCAGATATAAAATTAGTTATTACACCGTGTATACGTACGCGCCATTTTGATAGAAATAATCTAACAATAACTGAACAGACGCGGTTAATTCATCAACAAGCTATAAATCCAAAAACTAGTATGGATAACATCGACTCGTTGAGCAAATTAGACTGCGAATTTATTATTTCTCGATACTCGATAGAACTAAATAGTATCTGCAGGTCAATTACTTATCAGTCATTTGTCTATTTACATGTAATGCTCACAAGATCTAAGTTGCCTATTGTTGGAAAGAATTATCTGTAACACCAACGAGAAACACTAGTATTCTTTTCTATTTAAGACGATCTGAGATTTTTAAAACACTCGTCAAATTCTCAAAATAAACAATTAGCATCAGAAATCGCTCTTGCTTACAAACCATTCTCCACTGAAAAAAGTCCAAAATGCAGTTTCTCAGAACGTCAGACAACAAGACAAGGAGAAAAACATGAAAAATATATTGTTCATGAGGTATCTTAACATTAGCAAAATGATGTAGCCGCTATTCATTATCAACAACAAAAACCAACAAACTTTCTAAATATTCAACCGAAACAACAGGGCAAATGGGTTGTTGACAAATGATTAAAAACTGACATTTACCGGTCGACGTTAAATTCTCGTTTTTGTCTGATATTTTATCTGTTCCAAAATGGCGTGTCAACAGACAGTTAATTATCGATGTGAATTTTAGTTAGGTACATACAGTTAAATGCATGTTTTTAGATCTGATTCATGATGAAATAATGGATCAAAAACAGTGACTGTTAACTGACAGTTTTTCGCTGTTGAAATGATCTTTTTTGTTTTATAGTTAACAGGCGACGCATGAGTTATTAAATGTCAATTTTCTTTCATCTGTGTTACAGAAAGCAGCTCACTGTGTGATACTATAAGATTTGGGAGTTTACAATCACTATTACAAATAGATCCGGGTTAATCGCCATCGATCTTAGGATAATTTGATAGATTTTACAGAAAACGAACGACGCTTAATGCTGTAATACTGTGGTGTCCTCTCACTTGTAGTCAGTCACTCGAATGTGTTTAGGAAAATTTACATAATAAAATCTTATTATTATTCATATCGTGAGGAAACTGTTGAACTATCTTGTTGTGTTGGACAGTGTTTCTGGTTTTTATATCTAAACTATAATTTGAAGACAGAAAACGACAAATCGAGTGACTTGGTAGTTCATGGATATGAGCCTTTGGGATAGGATGAGATGAACAGTTGTCAAAAATACAAGCCCTAAAATACACATTGATAGATGAACAGCTGATTTTCAAGTTAGCGCGGCTACTATCGTTTACAAGGTATGTTTGTCTCCGTGACGATTCAAGACATTCTAATTTTCTTCTTTCATTTCAACGGTAAAACAACATCGCGGATGGTTACGTTCGCTTACATCCTGAGGAAATCGTCTAGCCATTGAATGTCAACAACTGACTGTCTCGATGTTAGATCTTGATTGTTGGCTAAGCAGCAATGGACGCAAATTCTAAAATTGCCCATGCTAATGATAACCAGTTCTCTTTTTTTTTATCCGGTAAAATGAGAAATAGATGTTGTAATGGTCGATAAAATATAGTCTGATGCAATTGCATAATAAACGTATATAAAGTCAAAATATAAGAAATTTGTAAACCGCTTCTCTTTTCTAGGTGTCATTGTGACAAAAAGTGAATACAAACGTTATTTGACAGGAACTGCATGCATCTTCAAATAAAAACTTCCTTAACCTTTGTAACTGTAATTCAGCGGAAGCGTTACTTCTGAAAAGACAAAAGATACATCTGTACAATAAGAAATATGTGACATTGTGTATTTCTTTAGCTTAAATCTGCACTTTTTCTGATTCTAGATTGAATAAAAAACTTCTAGAAAATATTAAACGTAAGAAAATGATAATCTAAAGTATAGTTCACATGTCTGTACTATTCATATTCCATTATACGTGTTATTCATATTCTTCTACTCAATGAACTATGGTAAGTTTAAATACTGTTTAATACCGAATATGCTAATTAGCATTATTTTAATGTTAATGGAGAGAATATTGTTTGTTTATTTATTTGATTTAGGCAAAACAATTAATGCAAATCACTATTTTGGGTGCACAACTTATCGGCCGAGCATTCACTAAAGCACTTCGACAAGAACTACAGTGTAAGTTGAGCCAAAACTTCGTTGGAATAGATCATAAGTCCTGTAGTTCTATGTTTTCTTCAGATGCACAAACAGCGACACAAAGTGGAAAAACAACAACACAAGCCGTACAAGCTGATCGTATCGCAGGTATGACTTTGCAGGTACGTTTTTCCTGGTATAAGTCATCATGCTCATAAACTTTATGTTGCTATATATTTACTTTAGGAAGCCAGACAAATTTTGAATATGTCTGTGAACGAATCAGTCACCGCAGAAGAATTAAAAGCAAACTATGATTATTTATTTCAAATTAACGATAGAACAAGAGGTGGTTCATTTTATTTACAATCGAAAATTTACCGTGCTAAAGAACGTATTGAGCAAGAGTTAAAGTCATCCAGTGAACGAGGACTATTAACGTATAAAAAAAAGAGAGACGAGGCCACAATGAAGAATGTTAGTACAGATTGATTTGTGTGCTTCTGTTTTGATAGTATAAATTTAGTTGAATTCCATTTTCATTCGTTTGTTTTTTCTTTACAAAATGAATGTTCTTTTTGTCTTTGCTTTTTATACGAAAAATAAGAAAACAATTAATTAGTAACAAAACAATGATTTGAAAGAAGTTCCCCATTGAAGGAACGCGACTTTCTCAAAAGTTATAAAATCTGGAATTTCTGAAAATAAAAAAAGCACTTTCGGGACTCCCGTGAGTCGAAATAGCTCTTCTGCTTCGGAATCGCTATAAGAATAGCGACTGGGTTAGGATCATGACTCGCTTCTAAGAGTTCTCCTAGGATTCTACGGGAGCGTGCCACGATGCGAAGAGTTCTGACGAGACCCGCCGCGACATCGCAACAAAATCGCGTCCTATTTTACGATCTTGGTGCACCTTTCGAGGTGAGTCTCATCCTGACTTTACCGTGAAAGTTGACAGGGGAGTTGATTCAATAACTTCAGCTTGCTCTGGTTAAGCTAACTGTTTTACCATTTTTAACCGTAGAAAGGTCACAGCGAGGAATGGAGTTGTAGAAGCTTAAAGATGTCCGTAATTTATGCTTTCGTTAGTAACGCGCCCATTCTCACTTCGATATTTCCAATTGTTGCATTGATTGTTACGCACTAGAGGCACCCGAGGTACTTAGAACGTGGTCAAAAAGTTTTCCGGCATTCTTCTCGTAACTTTGAAGGATCCGAAGTTTTTACGAAACTTCCAATGCAGAAGTTGTAGAGGATGGTAGCTCACGTTCACAAAGCGATACTGCTTCTAATCCGATTAAACAATGTGATAAAAAATATAAATTTTTGTATTAATTCAACCATAATAACAGGAGGACAATCCATGTGTGAATGATAATGTGTAATTATTACATTTAAATTGTGCTTCAGAATAACCGGAATCGAATACTCTACAATGCTTACAAATTTTTTGATTACATATAATACAAGATTGATATTTTATAGATACTAAACTATAACGACATCGATCACATAACCCGTTATTTTGAATATTCAATCTTTTATACTTAGCTGGTGAATCATACGGTATCGATGGATAACTACTAATAGGTGGATTGTGAATATAATTTGTCGAAGATCAGTTGATCGATTTTTAGGTTTTAGCCTTTTCCTTCTCTAATAAGCGCGCCATAGCTGTGGATGAGCTGAGACATTCTCCATCATGTCGCCGAAATGACTTTGATACAATAGTTTTTAACAAATAACTTTTAAGATACATGGTTGACGATAGACTAGTAAATTTCTTTCACATTCTCTTTCTTAAATGCACTTCAAACAGAAAGAAACAAAACAGACGGTATTACTTACGTCAGCCTAGCTTGTATATTCATAGAAATATAAATTTATCTCTTTCGTCATTATAGTTTAGTATCTATGAAATATCAATCTTGTATTATATGTAATCAAAAAATTTGTAAGCATTGTAGAGTATTCGATTCCGATTATTTTGAAGCACAATTTAAATGTAATAATTACACATTATCATTCACACATGGATTGTCCTCCTGTTATTATGGTTGAATTAATACAAAAATTTATATTTTTTATCACATTGTTTAATCGGATTAGAAGCATTGTCGATTTCTGAACGTGAGTTCTGTGTAGAAATTAGTACTCTAAAAGATTAAGGCCCCCCCTCCCCCGGGTCAGAAACCTATCTCAGCTCAGGTAGGTCTGATTTGAGCCAAACTTTCAGGGGATGTCGACCGTGTCAAAGTATGGAAACGAAATTTTTTTTTGGTGCTACTTGCAACTGGTCGTGGGAGTGCGCCACAACAAGGGTCAAAAATAGGCATCTACCACGTGCAGGAATTTTCATTTCAGGTATATGATAGAGAGCTCAGGCTGTTTTTGTTTTGCAGTAAACACCTATGGCTAGGAGTTGACAGGGCCCGATTTTTGAATTTCTCATTTACTGATTTCCGGTGCTTAACAGAACTTTAAAGTCCGAAAAATCCTTAGAAGGTTTCTTAGAAATCCTCATTCCTATAAAAACTAGCATAATTCTAAAATCGGACCCTGTCAACTCCTACCTATAGGTGTTATCTACAAACAAAAATAAAAATTTTCTTTCCGACGTTAAATAATTTGTTGATATTTTGCTAGAGGTTATCGGTCATGTGGATCTAATGAACATGTGCGCATATGCCTGCGCTTATGCAATACAAGTGCAAAAAAGCCATTTTTTTTGCTATAGGACTTCTGGAAAAATCGCTCAGGAGCTATGAAAAACCTGTCCTATCGACACAAAAATTATGCCATTAGAAAGTAGACATTGTGGGCCATCCAATCATGTGCTCTTCGCAAAGTTGATATTTTGACAAAAATCGGCATTTCTGACCCGGTGTGTGTGTGTAGAGTCTTAATTGATATGGAAGTATTTAGAACTATTTTACTTTTTGATCTTGATCATATGTATATATTATAATTTTCGGTATTGAATAGACAGAGAAGCAAGTGTTAAATTGATCTCATCTCCAGGTAACTGCAGGATTTCAAACACAAATACGCTCTTCCTGCTCCCCGCCGTATTCCGGAGTACGTGCTTTAACTTTCCAATGCACATTAGCTCATGAATGAAACAATTCTCTAAATCTTTTTCTAAGAAACCTTGTATCTCTGGTGTGAAATAGAGATATAAAATAGGTATACGTTTTTAGATAATACGAAAAACGTTAGATAATACGTTTTAAGAAAAATCCCATTACTTTCGTTACATGCGTTCCATTTACACATGTAACGTTTCGTTACAGCAAACGTTCTAATTTCCCACTTATGCGAAATAGGAACGCAAAGGTTTGTTTCGAAATTAGAGTCTCATATGTGGAGAGTGAATTATCTTGAGGTCTTATGGGGCATTAGGCTTCTAATTTGTACAGACGGATAGAGGTGAATCTCTGCTACATTTGATGCCTACCGTGTGTTTCAATAAACCTGAAAAAGCGATTACCCAAGTCCAAATACGTATCTGAAAGAATCTCGTGTGCTTTGGTAGATGCGTTCTATTTACCTCATATAGATATATCTAATTTTGAAAACTTTTGGACCGCGTTTTCTAAGTGCTCCGGGTGTCTCTATTTAATGTACGTTTGTAAGAAATTTTTTCTGAGACAGTCCTTTGTAATAATTGATTTTGGTATCCTCTGCGATGCATACGCTGGATGTGTTGCACCATGGTTCGATGCGCTACTGTTTCTATCGATCCTTAAAAAATTAAGTGCAGCGGGTTAACTTTCAGTGAGTTATACCAATTATACACTAAAAATGTAGTCAAAAAGAGGCTATAACGCGTGGGCTATGAAGAGTGACTCTCGTCTTCTCACAAGTAAAATGCAGTGTAAAATGTTCTTTCAGGGCTCAAAAAGGTGCAGAATTTTGTCTAGTTTCAAAACATGTAATAGGCGTAAGTAATATATAAGAGTTCAGCCGCGTTAACCAAACTACCGGAAGGTCCTTCAGCTTTGAACTGCACCATCTAAAATCATCTGATATTTTTCGCCTTTTCTAGCTATTTTTTACGTTGATAGAAAGCTCGAAATACAAGGTTGTGTTCAGTTTTCTGAGCCCTTTCGATTGAAATCTACTGAACTGAAGAAAAATCGGATTTAAAATGGAATTGAACAATTCAGACTTGTAGAGATGCCACTGGTTTCAACGAATTTGTGCTGCCGGGTCGATTACTTAAGACAAGATATTTTGAAACTTTCTTTCAGCTTCAAAAGATACAGCCTGGACAACTGTACAAGAGCTAAGTATTTTCAGTACGAAACATTTCCAATTTCGAGTAGAAGGAATCGAAAAGCAGGAAGCTGCTAGAGATGGGTGCTAAAATAGGCTAAAAGTGAAACACGATATTTTTCATTTCAAATTTTTTAACAGCTTCTTGGATGTTCTCAGATTCTGATTTGGGTTTATCAAACACAGAATTTTGTCTAGTGTTTGAACGTCTACTTAGAATCGTTCTACAATAAGTACTGACAAAGTTAATATTGTTTTTGTCTAAGTGTTTGAATATTTTCGGGAGCAGTAGTCATGTCTACGCAATTAGTCGTGATAATTTTTCAGTATTTTGAATACTGTCACTTAACCGTGATATATTGTTTTACGGCTCTTTCATCATTTTTTCTAACCACTTGATCCAAGGTCATCATCCAATTCGTCAGTTAAATATTTTTCACAACTTGAAATTTCTTGACGAGAAGTCACAAACAGAAAGATAGAAAATTATTTGAGTTCGACAATAAGCTAGAATAATCTTTTCAAAATTTGTAGATTTCTGTTTTAGAAATTATAGGTCAAACACCTTAGGTAAAATGCATATGTCAGTCAATAAATAGATGGAGAAAGTTAATAATATATCTCAATGCCAACATAAAAAGAACATATTCTGTCGTCAGGGCAAACAATAAGGTACTTAAGTAACTATAAGCATTTGTATGGTTCTTAACTGCAGCATCACACAGATGCTGATGCTGCAGGAACCGTTTATAATTGTGTAACTTAGCCGAGAAAAACTTAAAGAATCTAATATAGAGATATACGATTGCGTAGTTGTTTTTTTTACAGTGCAGTTTCGAACTATTTTTCTTTCTTGTTTGCATGCAAGACCGTTTATTTATTTATCTATGTTTGATAAACTTTCGTTCGTGAACGAGCGTAACGGTGCGTGTTACAGAAAAAAATTTGAAACCGAGAGACTTTCTTCTTTTTTTTCAACGAATAAAGCATCATAGTGCCTATTTCTATGACAACTGTTGTAGAGGGTAACATACAACATTACGAAGTTTTGTATTTTAAACGTATTACGGGTGTCAATAAAATAACACAGTTCCTTAGAAGATTCATATGATTAAAGCGTCAAAAATCATCTGAGATCCAATTTACAATTCAAATTTTTGAAAATAGTTTAGTCTTTCTAGTGTCTTCTTCAAATAATTCAAAATTTACTTCAAAGTCGGCTTGAAATTTGTCTGTCTTTTCCAGATGTCCGATTGTAGATAGTACATTCGGTTCTAGAAAACGAGTTCTGAAACGTTCTCCTCTTCTATACGACCTTGTTTCGGATTATTCATGTTAGTAAGAACACGTATTGTGTTATTTTTTTCCGTCGATTTTTGCCCATTAAAATCAACTATTAGATCAGCTTAACCAGAGTAATTACCACGTGACAGACAGGTACATTATACACTCTATTTTGTAATTTATTGTTAAGTTTTAACGAAGTAACATGCGTTCAAGAGATATTTCTCAGTGGAAAAACTAAATCAGCATTAAACAAAGTTCTACACCGACAACTTATATTATACATAAAATGGTGACTTATCCGTGATCTTCGCACGAATGTGCAAGACAAGAATATATACATGAGTCAGTCGATTATTCTGATTTTAACTGGTTAATGAAAGAGTAGGATTAATCAGACCAGTTAAATATGTTTCATAAGAATTTTTTTGGAATTTATTTGTTGGCTAGAGAGAGAGAGAGAGTACAATTAGAAAAAGTATTTCTTTTTTTTCTTCATTGCGGATGTAGATATAGATCTCGAGTGTGTTTGGTTAATGGAAATGAAGAGAAAAATTGACATTGGCGTGGAAAAATACGAAGAAAAAGCTACTAAATAGGAATGTCAATCGCTTCATTTGAGCGAAAAATAAATGGATTTTGACATAGATTAAAACATTTTTCAAGGATACTTCATATATTTATCTATGTTAGTTCATCACCACTTCGCATATTGTTTAAGAATAGAATTAGAAAGTATATGTACAAGTGTCATGTAATCTATTTCGTACACAGTAACAATGAGAAAATCCGTGACCTTCCAGGACACAAGGAAACGTCTATCCACACACTTTTTATCCCATTAACGGTACACACACACACACACACACACAAACACACACACATATTCAGTTGGTTAGAAAAAAATTAACAAAATGATCATCACTATCACGTAGCGAGAAAAAAAAGCGTGTACATATTCCTTTTTCTTTTCGCCCGTTCCGTCGAATATTAATCGCCCTCGATTTTTCTCTTTTGTGTAGATCTATTTTATACCCTCCCCACGTATTATTCAAGCACACACACACACACGCACAGACAAAAATGCAATTTTTGAATAAAAAAGGTCCTTTGTGTGTATGTCCTAAAAAAATCGGCAATGTCTACATGAAAGAACGAACAAACGAATCTTTTCAATAATATTGTTATTGTAGATGTATTGGACCTATATAGTAAAGATGCATAGAATTTATAGTAAAAAAAAAGAAAGAAAAACCTGGAAAGAAAAGAACAGAGGAAAAAACCCGTAGATCGTACATTATCCTTAAAACATAATACTTTCTTCTTTTTTTATTTTTCGTCATGATCGTATATGAAAAAAAGAAAAAGAAGAGAAAAAACCGCGTGCGTGTGCGTACAAAACGTTCTTTTTTTCCTCAACCCAACACAAAAAATTCTAACATTTTATTAAGTCCTTGAACACTAAAAAAAAAAAGAGAAATCTCACTGATGATGAATTTTCATTCCTTTTTTTTGTTCCAATTTCCGATAAAAAGATACTCTGCTATATACTAAATTATCAATCGATATCTAGTATCGATATGTGATTTTCTTTTTTTTTTAAAAATAAATAAGCGGAACGGAAAAAAGTCAATCAGCTGTGATTGAAGAAGAAAAAGAAGAATAGATAACTGGATCACATCATCAAAACATACATCTGAAAAGAACAAGAAGACAACGACCCTTTCCTCTCTTTCGCTCTCTCGTTTTTCTCTGCCATTGTACATAATATATAACACACATACCATCTATTGAACTATTCTTTTTTTCTGTGTTGTTATAGAATGTATTCTCTTTTTCTTCAAAAAAAATAAAAATAAAATAATTATGTTGCAACGCTGAATAATAATTATTAAAAACTTGAAAAATCACTAATTATTATTTATCATACTTGTTTTTCATGAATGATTGTTACAATATCGATTCATTAGATAAAATGGTAAAACATACTGCCGGTGGTGATGAAGTTTATTTGACAAAACAACAATTACAAGAATCTCATTCATCATCGTCATGTTCATCATCTATTTGCTCATCATCAATTGGTTTATCACCAACAACATCACAATTTCAACACAATCCCATTTTATCTGATACAACAACTGAGCAACAACAAGGCTTATCAACAATATCTTCATCATCAAATACCATTATTGATCCAGATTTAGCTCAACATATTGAATATGAATTAGGTTTAACAAAAAAAAATGGCAATAGTAGTGGTGGCGGTGGTGGAACGAGAAAGAATGCGTGGGGTAATTTGTCCTATGCTGAATTGATTACAAAAGCGATTAGTAACAGTCAAGGTCAAAGACTAACATTATCGGAAATATACGATTGGATGATTAAATATGTGCCATTTTTTAGAAATAAAGTGGATCGAAACAGTAGTGCAGGATGGAAGGTAAGATGCCATTAAGGTTACAATAACCATTAAACAAAATTTATCATGTATGAGGTTATCCAACATATCGAGTTTTGTTTGGCTATTTAGGTAACGCTATTACGAAAATAGTATGATCTGAACAAGTTGAAATTTTCACTCATTAAGCTTTTTTTTTTTTTCTCTGTTTAGAATTCGATTCGCCATAATTTATCATTACATAATCGCTTCAAACGTGTACAAAGTGAAGGTACTGGAAAAAGTTCATGGTGGATGATTAATCCAGATGAAAAAAATCCAAATTCAAATTTAACATTAACAAAAAAACAAACACGACGACGTTTACAACAACAACATTCATTACCAGTGACGAGCGATTCTAATAATAAAACGTCTCATACGACAATTCAATCTCGACGTACTCGTCATACATCACGTACATCGAAACTATTAAATGATAATAATTTAAATTCTGTAAACATGAGTACGTGTATTGAACAATCTTCTTCGGCCTACGATAATTCTAATACTATTACGTCGTTACCATTGCCGTCGTTACAAAATGATGGTAGACATCTCTTGGTCGACATTTATGATACGTCAGATTATGATAATCAGCAATGGTCTCAACCGCAGACCGATCTAGTTGATGCAGCAAATCTTTATGATCATTCTAACACAGATTTATATCATACGTACAGCACATTCGACGATAGTGGACGATATCACAATGAGTCACATTATCAACAACAACAGCAGTCACCGTATGATCAACCACCATTTTGTCCATCGATGTATCATTCGGATTACCATCAACATCATCAGCAACGGCATTCTGCCTACTATCAACAAGAGCAAACTTCGTTAACAGCCTCGGCTGATACGTTTCCATCATCTTACAGTTTACAGCAGCCTCAAGAGGCATCAGACGATCAACATATTAATTATTTTTCAAGAGCATACTCATCTTCATCTCATTCTTCATCATCACTGTCACCACCACAATTAAATAACGCTCTTAATACTACTGTTTACCCTACAACAGCCACCACATCATCCTCATCTTCATGTACAAACGGTTTAAGTAGAAATTCGTCTGTAAATAGTTCGATTCAACCGCCACCAATACAACATTATGAAAACTATTCAATAAATCATACTCATCATAAACCCGATTGTCGTCATTCTAATACTAATGGTGGTGGCCCAATTTTCAATGGTCACCGTCATTATCATGATATTGAAACACTGTTACATCTAAATTCCGTAGACGATGATGATTTATCATCACCAACAGTGACTATTAATGAACGATTTTATACCGGTGGACAACAGCAACAACTACAACAGCATCAGCCAAATCCGATATTACGTACAGTTTTAAAGCGAGCACATCCATTTTTAGGTAAGATAAACGAGAGCTCTTCACAAAATACTTTGATAATTGTCTTTCTAAGTCTCCATACCACCGAACCGAAAAAATTCCAAAGCTTCTTCAGTCAAAACCGACTGTAGATTCGTCTTCTCTATAGTCGATTATCTGGTACGCGATAATTTTTGGATCAGAATATTTCAGAAAAGTTTTTCGACATCGTTTGGCCCCTTCCCAGGTCAAGCAATCCTACTGTACGATCTTGTAAGATCGTACGAAAGTCTTGTAGGATCCTGTCGGAAAACCTCAAAGCCAAAATATCTTACAATAGGATCGTGGCAGGATTTTATCTGCTTTTCTTCTGGTTTATTCTACTAGGTTTATTGTTTTTATTTGTTTAGTTATTCTCTGACCTCAGTTAGCCAGAATCAGGTGATTCGAAGCTGGGATAAGCTCAAGACTTGTGAGTACTGATTCACACGTCGTAGAACAGTAGCGAGTTTCCATGGCTCACAGTGTTCAGTGCGAAAATAAGTTTTCATTTTCTATAGTAGAGTGGTATTTATGTTAGAGTTACTGCAAAACACGTCGGTGATTGTGTTCTCGTATAGAAAAGAAAAAGATATATACTGACAAAAAAAATCCTACACAAAATCTTACCATAGATTTTGTAAGAAATGCATAAGATTCCTATTATAGGAATCCTATAGGATTTTTGCTACAGTCCTATATCAAGAATCCTATAGAATTCTTGCCGTAGGATTTCATAAGACCGTACAATAGGAATCCTACTATCAGTGGAATCCTAGTAAGATTGTTTGACCTGGTCCCATGCGTAACTTTTTCAGCAAGACCATGAGCAAATCTTTTTCTGAAGTATCCCGATCCAAAAGTTATCACGTACAAGATAATCGACTATGGAGAAACCGAATCTGCAATCGGTTTTGACAGAAAAAAGCTTTTAAAATTTTTCAATGTGGTGATATATTTTGCTTTAGACTTGCTTTTCATTATTTCTAAAAAAAGAACTCTTTGATTTATGACTGTTTTACGGCGAAAAACTATTTTTTCAGCAAAAGATTTCTTAGCTATATAATCTGTTAAGTAATAAAGATTACTTTTACCGTGGAAGCAAGATCTGACAGATGGTGCAGTTGATACATTCGATTGCAGAATACTTCTAATCAATGCCATGCACTCGACGAGGAAAAATAATTAAGAAATTTTAATCAACTAATTGTAGTTGTTCTAGTTCACAGATGCTTAAGTGTCAATTATTAGAATTTTTAAAAAAGAGAGTAAGTTATTATTGATGAAGCAATAAGTAACTAGCATCAGATCGATTATATGGATACCAAAATTTACCGTTTGATTCAATACAATTAATCTTATTTTTTCAGTTACATTAATTCTACTGTTCTCTTTTATCGCATAATATTTCTAAAGTCATACGAATGATGATGTATATAGTCTTTGAATTACACTAAAGAACACCCTAAGCGTCATTTTTCTTATTCTTATGTTTTATTTTTAATAATATTTATCTTTTTTATGTCCATTTTAGATATGCACAATCAAGAGGTATAACGGTATATATCAACAGCATTTCTTTGTGCTTTGTGCAACATTATATAGTTTGTTAAAATGCTCTATCATTCTCTCTTCATGTCAATTATGACATCACACGCACATGTCTTTCGAGAATAAAAGAAAATCAACAGCATTTCTCCTCTATTGTTGTCTCTTCTCATACATACATACATATTTAATTGCTTTGTATCTTTCTTCTTACACTCATTTTTTTGTATTACCAAAATTAAAACCGGTGAAATTTTCATTAAAAAAAAAACGAAAAATTCTCTTTCTTTTCACTTTCTTCAATGAAGAACAAAAATAAATAAATAAAAAAGAATCAGTATCATTTTACTCTATAACGTGTACTTTTATTTCACATCGGTGCGACAAAAAAAAAACTCTAGTTTTTTATAAACCTTTTATTCGATATTTTTTGTTTTTGGTATGGTCTTTCTTCTAAAAATCAAAACTTTTTTCACGAATGTTTCTTTCCTTTTTCGTTTTTGTAAAACATGTACAAAGTATTAAGTCAAAACAAAAGTAAAAAAAAAATGACTAATGCCGAGTTAAATAAAAAGAACGAAATCAAACAAAACAAGACACGAAGCGAAATACAAATGAGTCGAGTGTGATACTAGAAGAAAAGTCATATCAATACTAAATTCTTTCATATGATGATTCATTCAATTTTTTTTGACATACTCTGATATTTTACAGTTCATTTTTTATTATCATAAACAAGAACTCATTGTTTTCGATATACATGCTCTGGATTAGAGTCACATGCAAATTTCATCAATTGTGTAAAAAAAATTTTCGTTTAGCAGAAGTCGATTTTGATAAAGAACAAAAGACAAGGTTGTTCAGAACTCTGAATTCTATAATACATATGTAAAATCTCGAGAAAAAAACAATATACTCTGTCTGGACTTTTTTCTTAACTTTCATATGGTAAGAGTCTCCAATCGATTTGTTCGAAAGTGACCGCAGTTTTAATTAATCTATTCAAATTCGTTGTTGAAAATGTTGAGTCAGAAGTCAACTCTTTAATTCTATTTTCATTTGTATCTAAATCTATAAGATTAAAAACGGAATTGATATATAAATATAGCTATGATCTCATTGGAGTGGGAGTAGTATACGCTCTCAAATCTCCAGCTGTTAGTTTTCCTTCAGCGACTATCTTATTCGTTTTCCTCAACCCCGTTATTAAAAAGAATTGATTATTTGAACCTTATCGGCAGAGTGAGAATAAATCCAGTTTCCGGTGTGAGATAATTAGTATTTAGAAAGAGTTCATGATTAAATAAAAGATGTTAGAAAAAAACTTAATAATAGACAACAATATTCACAAGAAGATTTGCAACCAGCGTTACAAACTATCGCAAATGGATCATCAATCTTCTTGCAAATCTTCTTGTGCATATTGTTGTCTATTATTGAGCTTAACGTAGGTTCGTGGCATTGTGAAATTGAAGAGATAATGTAAGAACTTACTGTCAGCATACAGTTTATATAGGAACAGAAAGTATTTCATCGTTCAACGCTGCATTTTATGCAAAGAACATCACAAATACATGTGAAACCCTTATCGAATGGTGCGAGAAAGGCGATACAATGATTGTAGATCGCGGATTCCGTGATGTTATCGACTCTTTTGTTGAAATGGATTATGAACCCAAAATGCCCGAATTTTTGACTAAAGGACAAAAGCAACATACTGTTGAACAAGCAAACAGATCTCGTCTGATCACAAAAGTTCGATGGAGTGTAGAATCGTCCCATGCTCGTATGAAAAAATGGATTTTGTTAGGTGGTCGAGTTGAAAACGCTTTCATTCCAAAACTTGCTGATTGCGTACGTATCGTTTCGGCTGCACTTAACTGCTACCGAGGTCCGATCGGTCAAAATACTATTAATAGCGACGATAGCACTCTTGCACAATACATGTGTCAACAAATCGGCTGCTGTAATATTCTATTACTTTATTCTATCACTTTGCTGTAATATTCTATCACTTGTTAAATTATATCTTTCATTTCAACACTGGAATTTTTAATAAGATAAATGCATTGAACTAACAGGACCATTTGCTTCGAACTAAGAATAGGTATGACTGCACGCACAAGATCCGAACCGTGCTTCTTCAAACAAATATTTTTCCCTATCAATTAGTCCTACGACGAAAATTAAAAGTAACCATATTCCTTCCTTCTTATTTACACCAGGCGAACAATACACCATCTATAGATTGTGATTATGATCGTATCAAAATATTCAGAATGCGATAGACTTGGCGTACTGTATATATATGTCGGAGTTGAGATTGGAATCTAGAGAAATTCGAAATTCACCTAGGTGAGAATAGAATTCTAATTTCAACTGATTGAGATTGGAATTCTAACGTCAGCTAGTTGTGATACGAATGGTGCCTAACTGAACTAGTTGAAGTTAGAATTCTAAATCATACTGGATGAGATCAGAATTCCAATGTGAACTGACAAACTGGACTAGTTGAGTTCAGAATTTAAATTCAT